TATCGGAGAGACCAGCGGATGATAAGTCACGCCAGCGTCCATGTCTCATGTTTCCAGAGGCAGAGAAGCAGACCAGCCACTCAAATGCCAAGAATGTGAAGATAGTCCAGACGCAATTGGCCTGAACCCCTCGGAGATCATCGCCTTAAGAAGAAATCCTGAAATACAAACATAAGGCAGAGAATGTGATCCCAGTTGAGAACCTAAAGCCCCAGTCGCTGAATGAGATCATCGCCTTAAGAAGAAATCCTGAATATAAATACAAGGCAGAGAATGTGATCCCAGTTGAGAACTTAAAGCTCCAGTCGCTGAATCAAGAATACAAGAAAAGAGACTATTATCGCCTTTGGTCGATAAATGCATATCTCAAATAAGTGTATACCCCTAGAAACCCCAGTATTACTATGATGCGCAAACACCCAATAATATTATGTTCTTGCACACACCTTTCCATATTCGTAAAACCAGTCTATTGAGACTATACCCCTGTATATGTGTGAAACATTGCATTCGTTAATATTTGTCATATTCCAACTAAATATATGTTGTAGCAAACATTATATAATGTCTTTATTTTCGTTGCCACATACATGCTCTTGTTAATGAAATATTATGTTGCTCACCATGTTGTTTCGTTCATTTGTGGTCACCGGTCGGTTGAATGTATTATTCCAAGAACCCGGGGAAGCCCAGTTCAATTAGACCATAATTGAATTGGACTTTGCTTACTTTCTTTTCTTTTTATATTATCTGCTGATGATTTAATGATGTAAGCGAAATAACCCTAATATTTGTTCAGTGATCCTATAACGGAAGGTTATTCGGGGAATATAAGATACAAAGGAATCATCGTGCAGAATACATGGATATTAGCCTGGTGCTGGTTGTATCCCCCATCACCATATTAGTGCCAGACGAGGATCTATGACAATTGTCATAATGATATTGTCAATAAAGGAATAAAAAACAGCATTTTAAATGACAACATACAATGAATTTTTCCATTACCAAATCCCTCACTCAAATCGTGGACTTCCCTCCTCGTTTTCCTAGCAAAACCGTGCAATAAGCTTCACCAGTTTAATTATTTCTTACCTTCTCTTCTCGCTCTCACTGTCCTTTTGGTTACTTGGCCCACTCAGTGGTAGCTATAGATATTTCGTTCCAATCATCTATTAAACAGGATACCCATATTCATAAGACCTTGTCGGAGTTACCTCCTCTTTCGCGCCCGCTACAACCTCTTTCCTTTACCAGCATTCTGATTGGTCTCACTCCAGGATTTTCTTCGTCACGCCCTTTGGACTGACATCTTTAACCGTCCAATTGAAAATTTCGTAGCATATTTGCATCTGCGAACTTAGGAGATTAGAATTTAAGAGAAAAAACATCCGGGTATCTTGTCAATAATTGACAAAAGTGGTCCCTTTTAGTCCTCGGCGTACTTCATCAGATCGTCGTAAATATCTCTCAAGGTTACTCTCTCTGTTTTCGTGACCTAATGCCATTGTATAGGGCTAGAGATGAAGGGAGAAGCTTTGCTTGCTGCTTAAGTAACATAGTGAAAGAAAAAAAAAGATGAACATTTGAAATTGGCACTTAGGACAATGTCACGTGAACCTTACAATAGCACTGATTGGGACTTTCTTCAGCCATTTAGCGTCCTCGTTTTATTTTGTGCGTGATTTATTTTCTTTTCCGATGGATTATTCTAAATTCCGGTACTATATGAAATAAAGAAATCTTCGAGAATAACTGTTTTGAATTTTACTTATGAAAGTTAGCATTAAAAATAGAATCTGTTTCTTTGACGTCTTAGTTGACACGGGCATTCACAATTTTATTAATTCAGTGTATAAAAAAAGAAAAACATTCGTGTCTTCTCAATTAGAAAGGTGAATGTCCTCACAGATATAAAGTAGGTGTTATATGAAATACATGATTAACCTAGCCAAAAATTATGTCTTCTTCGGAGACATTATTTTATAAAGAAATAATTAACGGCAAATAAACACTTATCAACAATAATTTCCCCAATCATGTCGTCGACAAGCAAATAAAACAAGCTTTAAGGAATCTTAGAAAAAAAGGACAGAAGCAACGATCCTGATATAAACAAAAATAAAAATATCATTAACTGTAACCAGCATCTCTCAAACTGTAAACAAAATGAAAAAGTTACTAACAATATAATTCGCTGGTAGATTTCACTTAAGGATTTTAATAAATACTTTAGATTTATCATTTTCTATAAAAAAAAGTTTAAAACCTCGACTCGAATTATTACCACTAAATCGGGGCCTCAAAAATTACCCCAAATGTAGGAATTTTTCTTGGTTGCGTGTGTGTTTGTGCTCGACAGTAAGAGTAGAATGAAAGAAAAAATGCAAAGGTTAAAAATAACTGCGCAACAACTTTTATTTCTGGTTGAAAGAGAATGCAATAGTAGTATTTTGCAGGAAAAAAGTGGGGTTTCCTAGTTAACAAATTTATTGAGTAGTTGTTTTGTTCAGAGAGAGATTTCTCCGCTAGTTTACACGGGAGGAACGAGGAATCTGAGTGTGAAACTACTGAGACAGACTTCGTTTTCTGCTGCAAGAGGTTGTTTGTAGTTTTCCTTTGGTAGGTGTCTCGAATGGAGATTTCTCCGCCGGCTCTTACGGGAGGAACGAGAAATCTGAGTCAAGCTGCCAGAATAGGCCTCGTCTTCTGCAGCAAGAGTTGTGTATAGCCGTTCGAGCTGGGATTGAAGGTAGAGGAAGCTGAAAATAAAAAGTAGAAAAGAGACCGAATAGGGCCCGTCAAGGCATTTATGATCTCTGGGACTTCCAGTTGTACCCGGCTGATTATTTCCGTTGCTGCTGAATTGATTTAAGTAAGGAAACCCCTACATGCCACAATAGCCAAGAAGTGAGATAGTTTCTATAGAATGTAAAAACAATATTGTTTATGAATTATCATGTCCTTTGGAAGATTGCATCTCCAATATCAATAATTCAAAAAATAATGTTTAATATATATATATATATATATATATATATATATATATATATATATATTGGGGGACAATATTGATAAAAAGCTCTCGTCTATTCGATCGATCACTATTGAGAAAAAGATATTTCCAAAACAGTTGACGTCAACACTATTAACGCGCCGCTTTTCATTAATGAATCGAGCACTGTTGCCTGTTGGCGTTTGTTAGAATTCCCTTTCTCTCTGCCATGCGCCGATAGCTTAGGGGAAGGATCTCCGTCTGACGCCAGATCGGTAGGGTTTCGACCCTGTGGAAATATATATATTAAGAAATATAGTTTTAAGATGTGCTATATTTATGGAATAAAGTGCTCAATATCAGAGATAGAGCGTATGTAAATATAAAAGTGAACATTAAAGTCAACACTTAGAGGCGACAGGCTGTTTCATGCTATACGCAGTCATCGCCCTGACGATTGCGTCTAGCATGAAACAGCCTGTCGCCTCTGAGTGTTCAGTGTTCACTTTTATATATATATATATGTGTGTGTGTGTGTGTGTGTGTGTGTGTGTATAAATCTGTATATGTATATATTATTACTTTTTTTTTATTGGATACTAGTATTTGCGTAGACGCTCCGTTCATTATTTAAACTGTTTTATTTCGTCTTCCGAGAAATCTTATTAAAGTAAAATGCGACCACTTATAAGATTTCTTGAATGCTCAAGCCGATAGACAAAACAAAATAATGTTTAAAAATGAACGCGACGTCTACTCAAATATGAATCGCCACTAAAAATATATTTTTTTAGAAGTATATATATATATATATATATATATATATATATATATATATTATGGAGAGAGAGAGACAGAGAGATTGAGTGAATGAAAGAGAAGTAGCGAGAAAGAGTGAAGGGGAGTAAATACACACCCATATGGGAATACAGAATATATTTAATTGTTGACTTTTATAGGTGCCTATCGGAGCACGAAAGCTATCATGCTTACCTTGCAATTGAACTACTTTAGTGAATAGCGCTCCATGACCATTCCCTTGTGATAAAAAGATAGTTTTTCTCACCAGCGCCACCGATAGGAGTTCGAACCAGAGGTAAAGCAATTTCGTATACTCATTTTCAAAACAAAAAATCAGAACCTGCCCACATTAGAAGTGGACGTATAAAAGTCTTCCTACGCACTATCTCTCCAATTTAATTCTGTGTCAGACTAATCAAAGTTTAGTAAATATCTAATAACCTCAAATACTTAGATTAGTTTGTCCTAAGGCCATTATTCTAGTGTACCCATATTGATCGAAGTCACATCACGAGCCAATCGTCTCCTAGACTAACATAATAACATTTGCTCTAGGTAAGGCCACCTAAATTTTATCATCTGTATATATTTGTGGTTGATTAAGCATCTAATTAAGCATTTCTTTATTTGAACAATCTACTCCCGTGGACTAAATAAAGGGTTCGGTTCGAAATTCCAATGTATATCACCTGAAGAAGCTCGATGCGTACATCGGCCGAAACGTCGTGATTATGGTAATAAAGATGAGGACAACAGTCCAAACAATGTAAATAGTATAAATAGTTACAATATCTCATTTCAGATAGGAAAATTTAATTAAAACCAAAGGAAATATTGCTGAACTGGTATGTTATATCAATTCTTATATCGCAGTGAATGGTGGCTAATTTTGTCACAAATGACGAGGATAATTGACGTAACAGATTGATTCGTTTTTACGGTTTATCAACCCTTTTCTGGTTATTTGAAGCCAGAGAATATTTTTAGATTGTAAGAATTATTTTTAAGATAATAATGATTTAGTGTGATACAAGTCTTATTAATTAACTCACAGATGGTTGGGGGGGGGAGAAGAGGCAAATCCATACTTTTCCTAAGTGTATTTGCGCGTAAGTGAATATAAGAAATCCAACAGGAATTGGAACTCGGCTCTCCGATTAACAATTCCAAAACATTATCCACTACACCATCCGCACACCAAAACTTACAGCACCTGGTATTTCTAAGTGGTCACCCATCTAGTTACTGACCAACCTTGACGTTGCTTAACTTCGGTGATCGTAGGGAACTGGTGTTTCGACGCTATTTGGCCGTAAGCCCTGAGATAAGAGAGAAGTGGTTCTACAGAAGGATGCTGAGAATGATGAGAATGGAATACGTGAGTAATGAGAAAGTTTTAAGGAAAATGGAAACAAAAAGGACATAAATCAGAAACATATTGTTGAAAGTTGTGGGAAACATGCTGAGGAAAGTGGGTTTGGAGAATTTGACTCTCACATGGCATAATGAAAGCAAGCGAGAAAAGGGCGACGTCGAGTCGTCTGCCTAACGAGCTTGTGTAAATGGATGTCAGACCAGGATATAGGAGACAAACATTAATTAGAGCTACTATGGATAGGAAGTTGTAGAGAGTCATAATCACTCACATCCTGAAGGAAAAGAAGAATGAATGAATGATGGTCATCCACTTCTGGACTTTATTTCAGCGGACAAATCAACCTTAAAACACTTAAATCAATTTTGGGCAGTAGAATCAAATATCAACACATTATCTCCCGCTTCATAAATGATTTAATTTGATTTATTTGTTTAATGGCATATCAACACCTTATGGGTCATTTACTGCCTAAATTTAATTTTCTTGCGAGCTTTGGTGTAATAAAAATATATGTTATTCTGCTTTCACAATTGAATATATGGTAGATGATACTCAGCTTTTGTGCATATATATCTTTGTGTAGACATAACTACTAGAGGCGGTGATATGTTTTATGTTGTAGTTTTGTTGAAGCTATATTCTGGAATGCAGTTTGATTTCTTTAAGAAATTGAAGGATATTATATGGATTAATGTCACGAAATAGTTCTTTCATGTTGGCTTATTTTCATTAGCGGTATATCAACCTTTATGGGTTATTTAATTAATAAAAACATTTTGAACACAATTTTATGGCTTCAACTAGACATATTTTGAATGTAATTGTATACCTTCAACTAAAGATAAAATGTATTGTTGGTTATTTTGCTATAAAATGTATTTTTGGTAATTTTACTGCAAATATATATTGTTGGTAATTTTACCATAAATAGGTATTGTTGGTAATTTTACTATGAATATGTATTGTTGGTAATATTACTATAAATATGTATTATAAATAATTTTTATATAAAAATGTATTATGGGTATTTTTATTATAAAAAATTTTCATAGTTTCTTAAAATTGTTTGGGATTCACTATTTGCCCATAACTTGGACCCTAACAAGTGCTACGACCCGGATCAGGGTCGACCTGCGTGAATCTGGGAACAACAGCAATTAAGAGGAGGTTTCACGATTCTCAAAACCTTCAATCTCCCAATCAGAGGCCTTACTGCCAGGGGTATTTTCAGCGTGCCCACGTTGCTACCGAATGTGACACAAGGTCGAAGTGGGTTTAAAGGCAATGCTGTGGAAAAATTGCCCAAGCCCCTTCGGCACTTCCCCTTTTAGGGACTGCTCAGGCGCCAGATAATAAACCCAGCCACCACCCTTCCTGGGGTTTTCTCGTAATGCCCAGGACTAGCTTCCCAAATAATTCAGCAGATTTGAGGTTTAATTTGAAAAATCTTTGATAAAAATAATACTTTGAAAAGAACAGGAATAAACTAGTGACCTTCTCGCCTCCATTTAGCTCTTTGACGACAAGATAAAAATGTCAAATAAATTCATTTATATTTTCATTCTCAACAATTCATGCGACTAAATTATTCTCTGGGTTAACCTAATTCAAAACAGTTCAGAAAACTTACAATGGCAGTAAACAAAAAACAATACAATCTCTCGTTTCCTCCCACGCTAATGGCTGGACGTGGAACAAAATGTTATCGACTTATCGTTATTTTTAAACTTTAGTGTCCACCCTTAGAAAGAATGCCTCCATTGACCGATCGAAGGCCCAGTGGTACAGAACATAAGAAACAATTGAATATTTACTTTTAGAAAAATATAATTCGCAGGAATGCTTGAATTAATACTTAATTTTCTTCTGTGGATAGGTTGCCAGATTTACCAAATGAAAATACAGAACATTATAAAAATTTAAATTCAAATCATTTCTTATTGGTATGTTGCGTATATTTTGCGTATTTAAGTTAAAATAATATTACTGATTATAGGAGAAACTAACTGGGTTATGCGTAAAAATTCATATATAACTACAGATATATCTGTAAAAAGACAATATCAATAAAGACAAAAAGAAAATATATCTTCTTAGCCGACGTACATGACAAAAAAAAATTTAAAAATGAATAGAAAATGGTTAAATTCAAAACCTCTCGTTTAAAAGATATAATACATAACTTAATTTCTAAAACTAAAATAACAATTACATTATAAAAATAAATAAAATTGAACAATAACATCTACTAACTTTTGTTTATTAGACATTATTACATTATTCATCACCTTCATTATTTATCTTTATTTCAGTTAGCCTGCAATATATTTAAGATCGCTCTTAATTTTAAAAATTCTAAAAAACTAACAACATTTTTATTTCTGTGTATAGATACTTGTTGCAAAATAAAATCTTTACATTTGACTTGATAAAGTGCATCAGAGGACGAAACGCATCGGTTAAGTTAAGTTTTCCTTTTGTTATTATTATTATTGGACTATGTATAAGTAAAGCATACGGAAGTATACAGAAAGCATATACCTTGAAGCAGATGCCCCCACATGTTATAAAACAATCCCTGGTTTGTACACTATGATAGGGTAAATACATTTTAGTTATACGCGAAAGAAACTGGGGTATTGTAGTTAAATACTTGCCCAGGTGGTGTAAATGTACCCACAGATAAAAATCAAACAAAGAAATACTCCTGGAAAGAAGTATAACAGAAATCTTGCTTCTAGGGTGGACGTTGATGCGGCTGTTCACTCAAAGGGAAACGATAAGGCCTTGTACCAACACACAATAGAAGGGATTAACCAGCAACCGACTATTAAGCTTTTGTCTACGAACTCACAAACACTTTAGGCTGACCGTCTTAAAGTAAATCTGTTCACAAATTTCACATCGTATTAAGAACTCTTAATTACTTTATAAAAGAAACTTCATTTCAAGGAATTTTGAACATTTTATTGTCATTGTAGATCTCTGAAAAGAATATATAAATGTTATTTCAACTGATGTTCTGCTTCTACTTTTCCTCCATAAATAACCTTTTTTTTATGTCTCATTTAAAAGATGTGTTGTTACTGTTGTTTATGTTTGGAATCTCGACACTCAGATAACAAAAAGAAACCTGGGTAGACGTATCCCAACAGTCTGCAAGTTGTTGTAACAGCTAACAGAGAGTGGACAGTGTTTTAAGATTCAATAAATAGGATTCCGAAGTCCACGAGAAAAGTTAAAATGAATCCATGAAAGTAAATTAAAACGGGTGTGATGAGGATCATGGGCAGCATGAAACACTCTATTTGAAATTAGGCAAAATAAATGCAAGCCTTAAGTTTCACGTTATTGGGAAATGACAGTGAATGGAAAACCTAGGTTCAGATAAGCTAGTTAAATGTTGTTTTGGTTACACAAGCGACCTGAGTGAGCAACAAGTTGAGCAGGGGTCTAGTCACAATGGAGAATAGCATATCATTTTGATAGATGTGCAAACAGAAGCTATATAATAACTATCTCGATTGTTGGCTATTGGGGCTTCCTTAGTTTTCTCGATTCAGCAGTAGCATCAACGGGAGTAATCAGCAGGGGACAACAGGAAATCTCAGAACTCATACAAACGCTGACCGAGCCCTATTCGGCCTCTTTTCCCGCTTTTCCTTTTCAGCGACCGCTGCCTTCAAGACCAGCTCGAAGAACCACACACATCACTTGTTGCAGATAACCTGTACCGGTCCTGGTAGCTTACACGTGGTAACAAGCGGAGAAATCTCTGTTCAGAACATCTACTCAAGTTTGAGTCAACTCTGTTAACCGGGACCCCCCCCCCTGCGAAATACCACTATTTTGCACTCTCTTTAATAAAAGGTTATTTCGAGCCTTGGGTTTGTTCATTTCATTCTATACACTGCTGAGCGCGCGTACAGGCACCCTTGAAAACCCCAACGACTATTCTAAGTTGAAGAGGAATCATGAAGAAAACAAAAAATAGTCGATACTAGAAAAAAAAAAAAAAAAAAATACGTTCTGCTGAAGCATCCCTCGTATAGGCATTGGAAATGAAAACGCAAGCCTTAGTTGGCAAGTAGGAGAATGTAATGAACGCTCTGCAGGAGAAGCTCATGTGGTACAAATACTTAAACTGTGAAAATTTTATGCCGAGAAATACAAGGACTGTTTCTGTTTGTGCTAAACATAGGTTTTGAGTGGCTGCCATTAAACTTACAGTGAAAAGGTTAACGCCAACGCGAACTCCATTATTTTATTCTCGTAAAGAATTTATTTTTCTGTTGACCTCATTGAAAAAAGTAGCTACCTGCCGTTTCACCGTTTTTTTTTTTTTACGTTTCTGTAGTTTACGTTTCGTTGTTACTTTTTTTCTCGCTTTTCGCCCTTTCCAGCGAACCCGTCATTCATTGAGTATGGCGTACGACTGGTGCATATCAATGAGTTTCAATTTAACTTAGTTGCTTGATCTTGTTGATTTCGTAGGTGTATTATCATTTGAATTGGTTGCTTGTCGTTGTAGGTCTAAAGGTGTGTCTGTTCGTGGGGGTTTCTCAGGTGTTTGCTCAATAAAAGCTGTTTTGCGACGGCTAATATGAAAATTGTTTCTTTGCGACCCAATTCACTGTAAAAAAAAAAGCTCGCTTCTGTAAAAGTAAAGCCAGAGTTGACTCATGACAGCGTTACGGCGAATAACAATAAATTCACTGTTAAATAAATTACGTATTTTTTGTAATATATGATTCATCTGTATCTAGGTATCTTCAGCGATTTGATAAAAAAATTAGCATACCAGGGTGAAAAAATGCCCCCAAACTTAATAAAAACAAAGTTTTATTGGCAAAATTATTATGTTATTATTAAGAGGAAAAACCAAAGGATTTTTTGATTATTAAATTATTTTTTCAAAATATTGGTTAAAAATCTTCTTCTTTTGCGTCAACAGTTTCGGGCAAAGATTAGTATAGAACATTTTAGCGTCTTTTTTTGCGGTGAAAAAACAACAGTGATTTAGGATTTTTCGCAAAAATCAAATAAATTTCGGATTTTAATGAAACTTTCAGGACTTATTCACAAATGAATAAAATCATAAATGGAAAAACTTAGTACAATTCATCGACCCCAATATTTTAAAAATAATTTTGAAATTTTTGTGTATATATAAACATGCCGATTTTTGTAAATACGGACATCCATACACGACATTATCAGAAAATAAGACTAATAAATGTAGTAAATTTAAACCAATGTGCCTAAAATTCAATAAAACATAAAAATTGAATATTATTACCGAGTAATTAAAAATTATATAAATAGGATGCTCACGTTATACTCCTCAAGTAAATTTGCAGATATGTCCATCAGAGAAAAATTAGATAAACCTCCGACAGAGAGGCTGTCAACACTTTAAATAAACAGGTACCGACGTGTTAAAAAATGCATTTCTACGATATTTTAAAGTAAGCAATATTTGTTTCAAATCAGATTAATTAAACCTTAAATCAGGTAATATTCCTAAAATAAAATTTCAGGAAAGTATATTTTATTTTTGAAAGATTTTTTTTAATAAGGAGAATTACATTGCGATTACAGATGGCTAAAAATGGCGTTAAAATAAGCAATTTTAGCGATTTCAAAAAAAAAAAAAACTTCTTCCCAGTCAATTTAAATTTGTTTTTCCAAACGGCAAAGTATTTTGCCTGTTGGAAATATTAAATTTAATCTATTAGCTTGAAATTAAAACTAAAATAAAAGCTTCAAGAATGATTTTTCATTTTTTAAAATCCATTTTAAACCTTAGGTATAGCTTTTCTGTGGAAGTACTTATATATGACGCATCCATATTATGAAGACATTGTTTGGAAAAAGGCTACAATTCTAGTTGAAAAATTTTTAATGAACAAAATTCATCATTGGATTCAATATTATGATCAAAGAGAATGTCATCCTCATTCCTTTCACAATCGCTGGCTTAGGAATCGAACCTTTCATCATTGGATCCAATATTATGATTAAAGTGAATGTGACCCACATCGCTTTTACAACCGCTTAGACAGGAATCAGACATTTCCTCATTGGATTTAATATTATGATTACCCTCATTCCTTTCACAATTGGATCCAGTATTATGATCAAAGAGAATGGCAACAACCTTGTTTTCATTATCACTTTGAAAGGAATCAGATATCTCATCAATGGACAATACTATGATCAAAGTGAATGTCACTCTCATTGGATCCAATATTATGATCTTCGGTTCCATCGATTGCGTTAATGATACATTTCTTAAATGACTTATCTATCTATCTATCTATCTATCTATCTATCTATCTATCTATCTATATTTCTCATGTTGTCTGTCTGTGTGTCTGTCGTGTGCGTTGTTACCTCGCCCAGGCCGCATTTCTCACCCGATTTCGATGCGGTTTTCACCACAAGTTTGCAAATGGCTGCCGTAAGGACATGACGGAGCCCGATTTTTGTGTTCGGACTCAGGTTCCGAAAAAATCGAAAAAATCTGCTTACAGAAGGAATCATCGCATTTCAACCAAATTTGACACCCTCTTAGAGTCTACCATTAGAAGTGTTGTCCAGAAGTTTCATGGCCACGGACCCCTAAACAGCGCGGAAAATCGATAAAACCCAAAAACAGATACGCCCAGATTGAGCCTGAACCGCATGTCGGTTTTTAGCGAAAACCGACCGGATGTATGAGGAGGCCATTGGGAGTCACCATGTGAAGTTTCAACTCTGAGCGTCCCCCCCCCCTAAAAAGACTGCAAATCGAGAATTGGTCAACCCATAAAGATGTTTTTCCAATTGGGTATTACCTAAATGCAGATTAATTTAAGGTCACGCTATGCGCGGGAAGAAATAGGTCAGTGCGTGCAGTGGAGTGGAAGAAAACATTTGACCTCAAATTCTGGAATGGGTGCAGGGCCATAGAAATTCGGCTTTTTTTTTATCCCTGCTACCAGGTCTGACTTTGAGCCACAAATGACATATTCGACTTTGTCAACACTTTTGCTTTAATCGTCGCATCTTATCAAAATAAGCAATTACTTTATTCGCGTCTTTACTTAAAAAAAAACCCGCATACGTGCTGAGTGAAAATGGTTCCGCCCTCAGCAGTCCATTTTCCAATTCTTCAAACTATTTCCCCTAGGCCAGCCCTGACGAGGAGTTTTTGCGCTAAAACATCAGGGCTTCCTCCCAATCCATTTCAAAGCTAATGCCGGCAAACGGTTAGCGGCTTTTCGTTGTCACACAAATCAAACGAGCAAACGCTTCATTGAAGCTCCTTGCATTCTCATCGCCGGCATCACGTGCGTTAGTGTCAAGCTGCATATGCAGCAGGCAGCTTTATCCCGTTTACGGCCAAGCCTTGCGCTTGCCAAATCATGCGCGCGTGCGTGAATGCGCGCTAGCATCTTCCATTATGCGTGAGCTCATTCATATGTCTAAGTCATGGCCATTGCCCAGGCTACACTAATCAATGACAAGTCACGCTCCCTTTAAATACCTTCAGCGCGGCTGCATCCGCACTCACATCTTGATTTGATCGCCATTAATGAATCTGTCCTTGGATTAAGTGACAGCTTCCTGCTACCGCAAGTTACCTATTTGCTTAAACGTTTGCATTACCCATTTTTATCTCCGCGTGCTGCCTCTAATGCGCAGCCCAGTCTATCTTAGCGTTTCATACCTATTTCTTCCTTTTCATAGTTCATTTTTGCTATTAGACAGTTAACTGCTGTGGCAAGTTACTTATTTACTCAATCGTTTGCCCAACCTATTTTACCTCCATGTAACAGTTTTCACTGTAAGATGAAGTGTACTGCCTTTACTACGCGGTCCAGTACACCTCAGTACTTCATTGCCTTTAGGCTTAAACGCTTGCATTACCCATTTTATCTCCGCATGCTGCCTTTGCTGCGCAGCCCAGACAATCATAGCGTTCCATACCTATATCTACCTTTTCGTAGATCAGTTTTGCTATGAGACAGTTAACTGCTGTCGCAAGTTACTTCTCTTCTACCTTTACTACGCGGCCCAGTACACCTCAGTGTTTCACTACTTTTTAAACTTCAACGCTTCAACGTTTTGGTTGCGTAACCTCTTCCTACAGTCACGTTTTCGTGCTGCCAGAAAGCACGGCCCATAGTTAGGAGAAGCTTTTTCCATACCGCTCCACTGCATTTTTAGTTTTCGTAAACAACGAGGTTGCACCGCTTCAGCTTCGACATCAACTTCTATTCGCATTCTTACACAGCATTTCTACAACCCTTCAAATGGCTCCTACACGACGAACATCCGCACGTCAGCAACTAAAGACCCTTAATACCGTTAACGTTACACATGCAGAACAGGCGACTGCGGAGGAGCACATAATAACTCCGGTTACAGATGATCATATAGCGTCTACTTCAAACTCTGTTTTGCACTCATCTGCGTGCCGTGACGATGACCAACCCGGCAGCTCTGCAAAGGCTGCAAAAACACCCAGGCGAGGCAACCTTAGCAGGTTTTCTAAAAAGCCTCACCGGCTCAGGGGAAACGGGAGCAGGATTCCATTGAGTGCGCCTCCTTGGGGGAGAAGCAGCTGGCGTCTATTTCAACCTCTGCTTTGCACTCTTCTGAGTGCCGTGGCGATGACCGACCCGGCAGCTTTGCTAAGCGTGCCAAAATTTCATGGCGAGGCAACCTTAGCAGGCGTTCTAAAAGAGCCTCTGCGGCAAAATGAAAGCGGGAGGAGGAAACCGAGGTAGAGGCCGCTTTGAGGCTTTCCAGTCAATCTCAACGGAGGCAGTATATTTTGTCACATGAAACGCTTGGTGAGCGTAACTACCGTTTGTACTGCGCATCAGTTTACACATATTCGTTGAAAAGTAAGAGGAAACTACCTAAACGCTTGCAAGACAACAAAAAAGCGGCTTCGTCACAAGCGCTTTTGCGGTCTCGACAGAGCCCGGATCGAAAAGTTAATCGCAATGCAGTCGACGCCGCTGCAACTTCCATTAGACGGTCCCAGGAGACCACGGCTGAGAAAACCACACGTAACGCAGCTAAAGCAGCCATCTGTTGGTCCCAGGAATCCATGGCTGAGAAAACCGCACGCCATGCAGTCTACGCCGCTGCAACTTCTGCTGCAAGGGCGTCGGAAAGTTCCGCGCAAAAGCGCACAAGGTGGCAACGCGATGCAATTTCAACTTACGCTGCTCGAGCTGTAGAAGGGCCTACTGAAAGGCTTGCATGGTTGCTGACTGTTAACCAGCGCCGCCATGCACAGCGAGGGCTCTGTAGCCCAACAAAGCAGTTTTGGTTTAAGCTGGCGTTCAACTATGAGCCAGTTTTGAGGCTTTCCGGTCGCAAAGACCTCCAAATAGGATCCATGTCAGTTGTCTGTGGGCATTGCAATGCCAAAAAATGGCCTGGAGAGTCTCGCAGGTTTGTGTTGTTCAGACGGTAAAGTACAGTTGCCACCTTTTCAAGAGCTACCTGCTCCGTTGAAAGCTCTGTTGGAGGGTTTCAGTCCAGACTCCAAACATTTCCTCGCAAAAATCAGACAGTACAATTGTGCCTTCCAGATGACCTCTTTTGGTGGTCCCATCTTGAAGGTGGGATTCAACCGACTTCGCAGAAGGCATTTCTGCGAAGTCGGTTGGAATCCCACCTTCAAGGTTCAAGGTCAGGTTTACCACCGGATTGGGTCTCTTTTTGCCGGAAACTGCCACTGATTCGGCCTGAATTGAATTGAATCAGACCAAGTTAGGCTGGGACACTTACATTCACCTCCGTGATGCTTTACGAAATGACGCTTATCCACGCAATATAGGCAAGATGTGCATACTACCTGCAACGTTCACAGGCAGTCCACGATACATGCACGCGAGGACGCAAGACGCGATGACATACGTTCGTAATACAGCCGACCAGTCCTATTCATAACTTTCACGTGTAACACAAAATGATACGCAATTGCAAAAGAATTTATGCCAGGGCAATCGGCTTACGACCGTCCAGATCTCATTGCGTGCATTTACAATCTGAAGTTGGGAAAGCTAATGGATGTGATTACAAAGGGCCAGGTTTTGGGGGCTGATTGCTGTTGCATGCGCACTATTGAGTGGCAGAAACGTGGCCTGCCTTACGCACATTTACTAATTTGGCTGTGCGACATGACTGAGGCCACAGAAATTGATAATCTTTTTTCTGCTGAAATTCCTTATACGTCGGCTGACCCTGAATTGTACAATTGCAGTCAATTGTTGAAATCCACACTGCAATCTGCGATGTTAAATTTTCTATTGCAACCAATAAATTGGCATACATGTAGAATAGCATTTGCAGTAAGTACGGATGGAATGGAAAGAAAAAATGGAATGGAGTTTTCGTATCACTGGCTGAGGACTTCAGTGTAGACCACATTTTCAGCTTTTTGTGAGGGTGAATAAAGGAACATATCATCGCGCCTGCCGACTCCAGAGCAGGCTACGTAAAGTTGGCCCTATGTGAAGCACTGCTCCTCTAAGTGTACACCAGTGACAGACAGTGTTTGTCCGTGGGCCTTATTAATTGTCATAGCAAAACAGGGTGCGAATGGGAATGGGGATCTTCTGAAAGTGAAGGGTACATCGGCATCTGATGGATACAAATGCATCCTTGGGATAAGCACTTGCTCCCCTTTACCGCATTACTGTGAAGCATTGAACTCATCGCCAACTAATGTATAGTTACAAGCATCAATTGTCTCTCCTCACATCGCCATACCATATGTACAGAAATGAATGACGCCGACCAGATTACGGGCCCTTTCAAAAATGCGTGCGAGACGCCTTCGTGCAGCAAAAAATCGATAAAAAGCTCCGGTTCGACCCTGCCATCAGCTGTTAGTTTTTACTTCTTTTCACGCCCAGGCTGCAATTAACGTCAAATGTCGATTCAACTTCCGACATTTACAGCATCAATTCGTAACGGAGACAGATATTCAATTTGAACTCAGGCTTTGAAAAAATTAATAAATCGGCTGGTACTCCGTTATTTGGCGGATTACATTCTAAAATTTCGGGCGTTCTTTACAATTCAACCAGAAATTCCTACGCGGCCTAGTCAGAGGTGCCTTGCATAGAATGCCGTGTGACCCCATTGTGACTCAAAAATCGATACAAACCTCTGTGTTGACCATGCCCTCAGCAGTCCATTTCCCACTTCTTTAAACTTTGTTCTTTCTCCCAGGCCGCATCCCAGATCCGATTTTTCAATTTACGTGATTGTGTCTTGCCGGAGCCCGATTTTTTTTTTGGGGGGGGACTCAAACTTTATAAAAAAACCGATTAACTCACAGGGGATACGGATTTTGGGTGTTTTAAGTTGAATGTCTCGCTTGCACTACGCGGCCCAGTACATCTAAGCTTTTCATCTCATTTTGGACTCTGTGCAGTTGACTTCGCGTTGTTAAACACTTTTCAACTCTTTTTATTTGAACTGAAAATCGGATCAATGTATGGTTTCCAAAGTTCCGGGTTAACAAAACAAGGGCAACAACAACCCCGCCCAAGTTGTATGACCAGTCTCAATATTTCAAAAAACTGGGTTGGGTGTGAAAAATTATTTGTTTTTAACATTGTTTTTTCATTCGGTTTTTACAGTTACGAGTCCTTTTTTTTTAAAGCTGATCGTTTTGTGTTCATTTTGTTTAGTTTCTTTTTCGTAACAGATTTAATGCTTTGTTTAGAGCTTAGAAAAATTCTCAGTGCGAGATAGGCAAGAAGTAAGGCATATAGCAACGTCAGCACGGCAAAGGGCATTCCTTTAAAGGCAAGGAAGGGCAAAAATATTTCAAGTCAAGTGATAGCGATTGCTGTATGAGTCGTACTATTTTTTAATCAAGCACGGACAACGCCGGGCCATGCTGCTAGTTAACTATATTACTACTTATTCCCCCCCAAGAATTCTTCACCGACGAGAACATTTGAACAACGGTCAGGACTTTCTTTCTATTAGGTTTAGTTCTCTTAAACTGACTTTTTCTTTTCATGAACCGATAACACTGTGATGTAAGACTAGTAAAATCTTCTAAACTATTCTCACATGAAATCCTCTTTGCTTTAAAACTTTTCATATTTATAGAAACGGATTCACCTTGCCTTCTCAAGTGCACAACTCACTTTAATTTCGAGATCTTGCCATTTTGCTTTATTCCCTCGGAAATTATTTTTATTAATCTTATAATTACCTTCGATTGTATAGGACGCAAGCAGATTTTGACATCAAATTTGGGGATAAAAAGTGCGTTTTACACACCGAAAAATATAACAGGTGGTTAATATGTTATATTTTGTGTGAAAGAAAATGTCAGGTGTAACTGTGTTTGTGTGCAAAGAATTTTCCTTGCAGGCGTAATGTGGTATGCAACACCAGAAACAATGCAAGCAATGTGTTTCTTAACTAACTGCAGTGCGTGAAGTACGAATAAGAAATTTTGACTCCATCTGATTGAACGGTCACTATATATTTTAAAATAAGAAATCGTTGACTAAATTGTTCGCACAGGGGCGATAATCCGTATTCTTGACATGCCTGAAAGCAAGTAGTTTTGTGAGTTGACAAAACAAAGTGGATTAAAATTGTAACCTCCTGTCATGAGCAGCAGGTAAATCAAAGTTTACTACATAATTTTCTTAAAGGTGTTAACAATAGAAATATCTGTAATAGAAATTGCTAAGATTATCGGGTAATTATGTCGATCAACGGAGTTGAGTTACCAATTATATGTGGAGCGTCAAATTATTACACAAACATTTATAATAAAAAATAAAGATAGCTTGGGAAAAGTTGGAAAAACATAAGTGAAGTTTTTATTTTCTAGAAATAAAACATGCTAACAAAGTAACGAAATGTGTTACATACCTTCTCTCATACCCTAAAAAGGAAAACTAGTGAATGGTCCAAGAGCTGTCTTTACTAACAAGTTAGACATTTCATGCTGTAAAAGGCTGTGTCTAACCATGCGCCAGGAAGTCATCTTTTCTTACTGGCATCTACCAAAGAACTGTTTCTCTGTACAGACCAAGCTCCGTTAATTACCGGTTACGGGCCAGATGACCGGACAAGTTTGATGCATACTAATTCCAACACTATAAAGATGTATACATAATTATTAAAAACCGTAAAGGACTGATCATGTTTATATGGATATGGACAAATTATGCGTCTAGTTTCAAGAATATAACAATATTTTTGTGTGTGCATGTGTACCTGTATACTTTTTATGCTGACAGGGAACGCGTAGTAATGTTCTAAATTTAATAATTAAAATAGATAATGTGTACATATTTCGGAGTATATAAAAATGCGGATCAGCATATATATCAAAAAAGGGTCTAGAAAAACATAAGAAATAAAATCTAAACTAAAATTAGAAATTTGCAACAGTAGCAAATAAGATCAAAAGATATACAAAGTGAATTTTCAATCAATTTTTTTGAGTAAATTCAAAAACCTTCAATATTGTCTCCACTGAAAATAGATAAATAAAAGAATTTGCAAAAATTATCGTGGCCAATTAATTTAAAATGTCGGATCGCCTCCACAATTCTATGCCGAGGGACTTCCTTTAACCAAAGTGATAATCGAAGCAGCTAACGATCAATAGCGGTCATAAGCAACTGAAACTAAATGGCAGTTCCTCTAAATCAATACGCTTATATTTGCTTTTCTATCGGAAACTCTGAGTTATGACATTTATTAAATGTTGATTTCAATCTTATTCTGAATGACTGCAAAACACTTGCCCCTTCCTTTTTATAGGCAGGAGTATACAAATGCATTTTGGAGTCTTTTTTCCCCCCTAACCAATAAAATAGGCCGCTTTGCAGTTTCATATGACTTAATCCCCATCTGTCTTGTCCTGAAGTCAGAACGCTACGTTCGCTTGTCCGAACTTGCTTTTGTGTGTCAACGCCAATTCTTAGTTTGTGAATTTTTTGCCATATTACTGTTGATTTGTCTTGAAAATATTGTTTGCTTGCTTTATATTCTTTTCGCCCTGTTCCTTTCTTTTCTTTCTCTTGTTATTGCTTATTACAAACTTAGTTCTGTTAATTTTTTTTTTTGCATTTGACCATGACTACACCCTCCATACTAAATCAATGAGTTTTCTCTACAACAAATGCATGCTTATTTCTATGGACATTTCACATAATCTGACTTTTTAGTTAGATTTACAGAAAATTAACTTAAATACACTTTCACAAATAAGCATTTTGTAACATTGCGAATAAATTGAAGTTTTAAATTTTACCATTTCTGGAAGTTTATACACGATATTAATTGCGATTGGTTAATTATTAACGCCGTGATAAAATGGAGTACCCGTATTTTGACCTTTAAAATGATCCTATAAAAATAAATTAAAAAAAATATCAACCTTCATCTTTTTTAAATCATTTCATCCAAGCAAAATAATAA